ATAAAAATCATTTGGAAAGAGTAGAAACTCAGAACTCGTACAAAAAAGGCTGCTGCTATGAAATATCCGGATATTCCACTTTGAATATCCGGATATCCAATATCCGGATATGGAATCCAGAATATCCGGATATCCAATATCCGGATATGTGCTCGATAAATATCCGGATATGTACGGATTACAACGGCTATAAACGGCTAGAAACGGCTAGTTTTCATAGGAGGTGTCATTATAAATACCCACGTCAGTTGGGATGAACAGTACACGACCCTGTAGCATTTATTGAAGCTTTATTACTCTTACTAGCCTGTTATTGCTCATTAATTACTTACTTTAATCATTGCATACACTTGAGCTCATCTTTCCTTTGAAGTTATACATCTCTTAGTTCTTCAATTTGTTCAATATGTACTTTGAGAGTACTTAGCCACTTCTAATCACCTCAATATTACTTCTTGATTTGAGAGGGGAGTGAACCCTATATTTGAGAGGTTACCAAATTTCTAAGAAAATTTGAAGTGAAAAAGTGTAAGGCATCAAGAGCCCGAAGTCTTGAAAAGTTGTAGTGGTTTGTCATGTACCCTCAAGCTTGATAGTTAGTGAAAAGAATTGATCGAGCGGCTTCAGTCTGGACGTAGGTCACGGTAGTGGTGACCGAACCAGGATACATCTAGTTTGCAATTTCTCTAACCTTAATCTCTTTATTTAAGTATTAAAATTGCATCTTAGATTGTCTTTATATATACGCTTGCTTACTTTGTTGATCATTACACTTGCTTTTACAATTAGACATTTCCTTATAAAATCACTTTATTGAAGAAATAGTCTTTAAAACATCAAATGAGGTACTTTGCGAAAAGATTTTGTAAAATTCAATTCACCCCCCTCTTGAGTATTGAAGCCACCTGTCCAACACAAATGTTTTAAAAGAAAAAAGAATTTTGTCAAAAAATTTGACGGAATGTTTTTCGTTCAAAATTTCGATGGGAATGTGTTCTGACGAAAATTATTTCGAGGGAAATGTTTCATTTGAAACTTTCGTCGAAATTTAGATTCTCTAAAGAATTTTGACAGGATATTTTTTTCGTCAAAATGTTTTATTTGTCAAAAAAATTTACGGAATTTTTTTATAGAAATGTGTTTCGTTGAAAATTTTGATGGAAATTTTGTATCAAAAAACTTGACGAAAATATTTAGTTGAAAATTTTCGATGGAAACGTGTTTCGCTAAAAATTTCAACGATTTTTTTTTTGTCAAAAAATTTAACGAAAATTTTTTCGTCGAAAACATTCGCCGAAATTTGAAATCTGTAAAGAATTTTGATGAAATTTTTTGCCGTCAAATTTTTTTGATGACGAAAGTGTTTCCGTCGAAAACTTTCGCCAAAATTTGAAATATGTAAAGAATTTTGATGAAATTTTTTGTCGTCGATATTTTTTGCCTTCAAAATTTTTTGATGACGAAAATGTTTCCGTCGAAAACTTTCACCAAAATTTGAAATCTGTAAAAAATTTTGATGAAATTTTTTGCCGTCAAAATTTTTTGATTACGAAAATATTTTCGTCGAAAACTTTCGCCGAAATTTGAAATCTGTAAAGAATTTTGATGTAATTTTTTGTCGTCGATACTTTTTGCCGTCAAAATTTTTTGATGACGAAAATGTTTCCGTCGAAAACTCTCGCCAAAATTTGAAATCTGTAAAGAATTTTGATGAAATTTTTTGCCGTCAAAATTTTTTGATGACGAAAATATTTCCGTCAAAAACTTTCGTCGAAATTTGAAATCTATAAAGAATTTTAATGAAATTTTTTGCCGTCGAATTTTTTTGATGGAAATGTGTTTCTTCGAAATTTTCAATGAAACTTTCGACGAAATTTAGATTCTCCAAAGAATTTAGACAAAATATTTTTTCTGTCAAAATTTCTTATCAAAATATTTTTGTCAAAAAATTTTACGAATTTTTTTTACAGAAATGTGTTCCATTGAAAATTTTGATGGATATATTCTTTATCAAAAAACTTGACGAAAATATTTAGTCGAAATTTTTTGATAGAAATGTGTTTCGCTAAAAATTTCGACGAAATTTTTTTTGGTCAAAAAGTTTAACTAAAATGTTTCCGTCGAAAACTTTTGCCGAAATTTGAAATCTGTAAAGAATTTTGATGAAATTTTTTTCCGTCAAAGAATTTCGATGAAAATGTGTTTCGTCGAAAGTTTTTATGAATATATTTTTATTGTGAAATATTTTGACGAAATTTAGATTCCGTAAAAAGATTTGACAAAAAAAATATTCTGTCAAATTTTTTTACCGATATGTTTTTAGTCACAGATTTTGATGAAAATCGCGAAATTTTTTATGAAAATTTTTCCATAAAAAATTTTGACGTAGTTGTTTTACGTTAAAACTTTTCTTTTAATGGAATTGTGATTTTTTTTTTCACATAATGGGTATGGGTCAAGTTTTGGGTCAGTGAGTCAATATTAAAACGAGTCAGGTCTAAAACTGACCCAAATAAAAGTGGGTCAGTATTTAAACCAGTTCAAAAAATATGAGTATTTATGGGTCGGGTCAAGGTCGGATCAAGGGCAGGGCAAGTGAACCAGTTTTTTTCCACACCCCTGCAAAAAAGTCAATGACTTGCGTTCTAAATAGGATTTTTTAGAAGCCTAAGCCTATTATATTTGACTATTTGTGATAGGTCAAGTCTAACTTAATATAGGTTAGACCGTAAATCCCTGTAGGTCGACCTAATCCATTTACACCTCTAGACAAAACTCACTTCGGTCATCTTTACACCTCAAAAAAAATTAGTTGAGAAATACTTAAGAGAACTCAAAAAATAAAATAAAAATGCAATTGTGAAGTAAGCGCATGCCTCATCATCTTGCGTGTGTAATTTGTGTCTTGTAGCATTTTTCTTTGTCCATTAATTTAGATACACCTAAAACCAACAATTCATGAGAACCAAAGACAAAATGACATACCCAAAGCGATAATTGATCCAAGTTGATCATAAGACTCTTGTAAATCATAGGACTTGATAATAGGATGTGTACAAATTTTTTTCACCACACTCAATACAAACAATTAGACAATGTTATAGAGAATTTGACTATGTAGACAAAAAAATATGAAATTCCAAAATAAAGGGTCTTCTCTTCTGGACCGTCACTTTTGGTACAAAAACGCAACCATTTTGTGTAAATATTTGGACGGTAGAAAAAAATTAGAGCGTTAAACTCCTGCAATCAATCCAATATATAAAAATTCATGGCAAATAAGAAATTCAAAAAATCAAAATAATTTATTTCACAAAATACATAAAAGCAAAGTTTTAATAGTAGATTCTCTCACTATTTTATCTATTAATGAAGAGATACAACCTCAAATGCTAGTAAACACTCAAGCACGCTATTATTGAATCAAAAGTCAAGCGACCTCTGCCAAATTTATTATTATCATGATATTGAACCACATAAACCATTGTGAAAATCGGATCGGATCTCCTGGATCGACCTAGAATTCGATAAATCGGTCATTTGACCGGTTTGATTATTACATTGGATAGGTCAAATACCAAACTTGGTGTAATCCCGTCGGTTTTAGTGAAAACTGGTGAATCGACCGATTAACTAGTGACCTGAACCTGATTTTTTTTAAAAAAAAGTTTTACAAAAAATATCATAATTGACATATTTGAGTGATATGTTATTTATTGACTTACATAAGTTATGTACCAACAATACTAATATATCTCAGTTATGCACTATGCAGAAAATTTTGATTTGATTTATAGTTAAAGATGTCGTTTACTGAACCTGAAACACCAAGATCACAAGTATTATATGTTTGTTTGATTATTTATTGGACAATAATGTATAATTTATTATTCTTTTATGTTAAAATATTTAGAATTTATATTATTTTTTCAGCTATTTGAGTATGTTTATAATTTTTTAATATAAATTATAGATTTATATATAATCATCGGGTCATAAGATTCAACCAGTGACCTACTGGTTAAACCAGTGGCCCAGTGATCTGGTATCTCGACCAGGTCATTGACCGGGCCAATTTTAATAATATTGACATAAACTATTCCTAACGTATAAACAACCAAAGAAAAAAAAAAAAAAATTCTCCCACGTTGCAAAATTCTAACAATTTATTACAAATTAATGAAAGAAAATGATGGACTGAGTGGGAGCTCAAACTATGGGAGATTATTAACAACAACAATAATTACCATCCAAAATAAAAATAAAAATTATTAACACAATAATTGAGCTTAAGCAGCAAATCCATAACATAAAGAATCTCATATCAAATTTCAACTCAAAATCTTAAAATATTAGATTTATAAGTCTCTCACTTATATTTATCAAGCTTAGCTCATTCCTCTTCGATATGAGATTTTTTTATCATTGACCCAACATATTGTTGGAGGTTATGAGTTTGAAAGAGAAGGGTTTAGAGGTGCTTGAAGTATTATACCAAGAGATATTAAGTTTGGAATGCTTAACATTGTTACCTCCGGCGTAAGAAACTCTAAAGATAATACAAGTTATTGGACTTCAACCCACATGGGTCTAAATAATTATGTTTTCACCTATTGGGCTTATATTTTATTAATATATCCAACACATACAAGGTAGCAATTGTCTCCTTTGGAAGTTGGTATACGTGCATTTTTATTTTTTTTCAATGCTATTTATTAGATCTTTACATTTGTTTTGGCATAATAATATGAATATATTAAGCAACTTTGGCTACTCCAGTTGTAAGTCTATCTGCTCACATAAATGGTTGAAGCAGAATGCACAATGCACAACCACTCAACATTAACCAACTTGTGCAACCACAACAGCTAGGGATCTAGCTACCATTCAAAGTTACCACCGTCACACAAATACCATCAAATCCCATTCCCATATCGTACATATATATGTTCCCATTTCCTTTTGTTCCACTTCACTCATAAAAACACTCACATACACACTCCCTCTCTTTCATCTCTCCACACACTCATGGAGGTTTCATGGGAACAAAGTGTCACTTCTTCTATCAACACAATCTACCTTCTCTTCTCTGCTTACCTAGTCTTTGTAATGCAGATTGGCTTTGCAATGTTATGTGCAGGCTCAGTGCGTGCCAAAAATGCCACAAACATAATGCTTACCAACGTGGTTGATGCAGTGGTTGGTAGCATATCCTTCTACCTTTTTGGTTTTGCATTTGCATATGGAAATTCCAACCCTTTCATTGGTACAAATATGTTTGCTCTAGCTAACATTCCTAATGCCACTTATGACTATAGTTTCTTCCTTTACCAATGGGCTTTTGCTATAGCTGTAGCAGGCATCACAAGTGGGTCCATAGCTGAGAGAACCCAATTCAGTGCATATCTTGTTTTTTCATTTTTCCTTAGTGGGTTTGTGTACCCTGTTGTGGTCCATTGGCTATGGTCATCCACTGGTTGGCTCAGCCCAAGTTCCAGTGACCTGTTCCTGGGCTCAGGGGCCATTGACTTTGCCGGTAGTGGAGTGGTTCATTTGGTTGGTGCAATTGCTGGGCTTTGTGGATCCATCATAGAAGGCCCACGAGCTGGCCGGTTCGATGCTTTCGGCAAGCCCGTACCTCTTCGAGGCCACAGTGCAACACTTGTGGTCCTTGGAACATTCTTACTATGGTTCGGTTGGTTTGGATTTAACCCGGGATCGTTCGATAAAATCGCGGTGGCCTATCCTAACACGTCGGACCTAGGTAATTGGACTTCGGTGGGCCGGACTGCCGTGGTAACTACTTTAGCCGGTTCGACAGCCGGGATTGTCACCTTACTCGGCCGCCGATTATTAATTGGTCATTGGGATGCAATGGATGCTTGCAATGGATTGCTTGGTGGGTTTGTTGCCATCACCTCTGGATGCTCAGTTGTTGAGCCATGGGCTGCCATTCTCTGTGGGTTCGTCTCGGCTTGGGTCTTAATTGGGCTCAACATCTTGGCACTAAAAATGAAATATGATGACCCATTAGAGGCAGCCCAATTGCATGGAGGGTGTGGGGTTTGGGGTTTGTTGTTTACAGGGTTGTTTGCCAAAGAGGAGTTTGTGATCCAAGTCTATGATTCAGGTGAGACAGGAATAACACGACCTTATGGGCTTCTACTTGGAGGTGGATGGGGATTAATTGGGGCCCAAGTTGTTGAGATTTTGGTAATCTTTGTATGGGTTAGTGCAACAATGGGCCCTGTGTTCTATGCATTGTACAAGCTTAATATACTTAGAATTCCTATAGAGGAAGAAGTTGCTGGCCTTGACATCTCAAGCCATGGAGGGTATGCTTATGCTCCTCAAGAGGATCATTATCCTCGATCTTATGCAGATTATTTGCGTACCCGAGATGGCCAATAATAGTTTGATTTTCCTCATGTTAATATTTTGTAATATGTAGAAGCAATTCAATTTTGTGTATACTTTTTGAGTAGAGCACTACATTTATTTGGTTCATTGTTTTTGGATGAGACTTGGTGAGTTCACGAGGGAACATAAGAAAAACGAAATGGGGGCATTAAAAATCAAAGTAGGACCCAAAAGAGGGTGTCCCGGTTGAACTATCTTTCAACAAAACATCAAAATATCATGAAAGAAGGAATCTTGTCATGTGGGTGGAGCCCACACATTGGATAAGGATCACTTAATGGATATATGTCATTAACTAAATTGGGGGTGCAAGTCCAAATACTCATTACCAATTCAATTGACACAAGTTGGCATAGCCAAAGGATTAAAAAAAAACTTTGCTTTTAGTAGCTCCATACTTTCAATTCTAATAACATTATTATAACGGAATAAGTGAATAACCAAAATCACCCCTGTGGTTATGGACAAAACCTATTTGGGTTAGAAATTAATCATTAACTCGAAGCCAGAGGAACAAAAGGTAACAAAATATATACAATTAAATTATGGTCTAAAATGCATGTACAACTGAGTGCAACGTACTCACAATTTCCCAAACCTGTAGGCAATCCTCACCTTATAAATGGATCATAGGACACATGTCTGGGGTCTGGAACAATAAGAGGCAACTTCTCTAAGTACATAAACAGCATCTTACAATTCTCTTTGAAAATTGTCCCAACATCAACAATATCATTCTTGTCTGTGTAAATCCAAAGGTCCCCAGAGTTTACTCTCTTCAGGCTATCCCGGCAAAAGGGGCAAGACTGAGACCTTACACACCTGAATCAAAAAGCACCATTGTCAAAAAGAATGAATAGAGAACATAATAGTAAATACTGCCTGATATCAAGGTCAAATATAACAGCGTGAACAAGCATAAAAAGTAAACAAATTGCACTTTAAAAACTAAAATAGAAAGAGGATGACTATTGATGAAAAAATCAATGGTTTAGCTTTTGATAAAGTAAAAGCAATCGGATAACAATGTTGAAATTATGAGATCCCACTCTCAACTTTTTCATCAACACTTAGTCAGTCATAAAAAAAAGTTGGATCAGGAATTCAGGATCCTCACTTCTAAAGGACTAATCCCACACCAAACGGTAGTAGCTCAGTTGGCGCTAGGGAATTGAGCAGGTAGGGGTGAGAGCATGTATTCAATCCTCCCCAGTATCATCTTTGGAAGAAATTTAAAGCCTTAATCCCTGAACCCGCCCCAAATCGGACAAGTCGCGAAGCGATAAACCGATTGGAATATCTCAAAAAAAGAAGAAAAAAAAGGACTAATCCCGCTAAATTCTGTCACATAAGATTTTATCATTGATATCAAAGATGCTATAAGAGGCAAAAGTTACGTGATAAACAAGACCAGCACTGTAAAGGAGAGGAAGTTTTAGAAAGTTGATTAAAAATTCAGAACACATAAATATGCACATCCCATGTGATGTGAATGTGAATATTTCATGGGATGTGAATATTTCTGTGTTCTAACAGACTGTTAAAAGAATATCCCCAACCTTACAACTCCAAAAATCAGATAAAAACTAGGTTTTATGTCAAAAGTATGATCAGAGCATAATATACAAATATAAGTGGAAAGATTCTAAGATAGATGGAAAGATGAAATGAAGAAATAGAAGCACAATCAAGGAATCTTACCAATCTCTGTAGCACTTCAAGCACATATAGTGGCAGCAATTAGGCAGCACAACTTTTGCTTTAACCTCCAAGCAAACCCCGCATTCCTCTTCTCTTTCAATGTCAATTTCAGATTGTCTACTCTCTTCGAACTCAATCTTCCTTCGGTATCTAACATCATATACTTCTTTCTGTTTCCTTTCCTCCAAATCTGTGATACCTTTCTGAAGTTGTAATAAAGCAGGAAATATAACAGCTGTTCATCAGCAGAAGAGAAAAACAGAAAATATGTCAAGTATGTTTTGATTATCAAGAACACAAAAATTGAACAAATGAAGCCAGTTGCACCCTAAAACAGCAACAGGCATAAAGCTATATCTATGTATGCATTCCTTTCCACATTTAACTTACTGTAAAATTGTCTAATGCTTGCTTTCCTTTCATATATTGACATAGTAGTCTTCCCATTTCCATAAGTCTGCATAAATGTAGAAGGAAATGTTATGAAATTAAATACACAAACAGATTATAAGTTTATAACAACTTAAGAACAAAAAATGGGAATCATGAAAGGGATAAATGAAGAAAAAAAATTAAGAGACAGAAACATTTGATGTTCTACTAATGCATTGAATATATATAACATGGTTAGAACATATACCACATAAATTAGAATCCTCAGCAAACCCAGAGCACCAGCCAGACGGTAATCTGTCCACTGAACAAGAAAGAGGAAAATTGGGGCTGCTGGACCGTATGATAGCCTCATCTGATAGCATCCTCCATCTTTATCCCTTGGATGGCCTAATGCCCTTAAAAAAAGAAGAGGAAGATCCCAATATAAACATGTCAATGAAGTGTTAGAAAAAGTATTGTATATTGAAAAACATAATCTAATTCTAACTTTCCAACAAGGACACTGAGTGTGTCATACAAATTCATAGTTGAAGTTTATCATCCGTTTCTTTAAACAAATTCCCACTCTTACCTCAACAAAAACGCAGTACCATTAAGTTTAAAAATAAAAAATAAATTTTTTTTGACCACACAACATGAAAAAAAAGGCTGTAATGCAAAAACGACAAAAGATTCAATTTTAAAAAAAATCAAGTCAACAGTTCCAGTGATGAGAAATCCTTGTCATGACTAAGCATAAATTTTCAAACTTCATGATCATAACATACCCTCAATTCTTTCAATAAAAAAGATCCAATTTTTAATCTGGGAATAAGAAGAACTATACATTATCTGCTTCTGAGGCTAAATTCTCATTCAAACAAACAACTACCCAAAAAAAACAAAAAAAAATAGATAAAAATTGAGAGATAAGAAGAGAGAGACATACAGGGTATTAGCATACTGAATATCAGCTTCCAGAGCTTTTAGAGATTCTTGAAAGGAGCGCTTTCCCATACCCAGAAATTTTCCCGGAAATTTTTTTGTTGCATGCAAATTGAAAAAAACGAACCCAATATGATATGAATATATTAACACTATTTAGAGTGACACTCAGTGCCCTTTCCGCCTCCTCAATTCAATAGGCTCATGGTATTGGAAAGTGGATTCTGCGTTTCAGAGTGGACTTCAATCTTAAGGAGACGATTTTGCCCCTTCTGTTTTTGTACAGGCATGTTAATTATCTATTTGAGGCTGTTACAAGATTAATTTTGAATTAGGATTTAGTGCCCCTTTGTTTGCACTTTAAAAAAAAAATAGCTTTTATCTCTTTCTTATTTTAGAAGTTCTTTTTACAAAAGTTAAAATTATTTATATTTTTATAAAACTGTTTAGATTTTGAAAAAAATATTTGACTTTTGACTTCTGCTTTTTTTAGAAGTTAAAATTTTTAGCTTCAGAAAAAAGTAAATTTTTGGCTTTTTTTTGTGACTTTTGCTTTTTTTAAAAGCAAACATCCAAACGAACTAAAAATGAAAAGTACTTTTTTCAACAAAAAAAACAACTTCTGGAGAGAAAAAAAGCCCATCCAAACAGGCCCTTAGTCATTTCTTAGTCTCTTCTAGGGGTGTTAAACGAGTTAGGGGTCTTTGGCTCGGCTCATGAATGTCTGAGCTTACATGTCTAAAATTGATTGTTGGACCCAGGCTTAGACTTGTATAAAAGCTCGTTTAATAAAAAGGCCTCAGGCTCCAATTCAAAAGCTCGGCCTTAGAGCCTCTCAGGCTTGCCTAATATATTATTTTTTTATTTTTTATACTACTTGTGATAGCCCTCTCTCATCGCATTTTATTAATTAAACAGACTTTTTAAATGAGTTTTTTTTTTATATTATGCTATTTAGATATACATCAAATTTATGAATATTTATGGAATTACTAGTGTTGTTGATTGTATATTTTGTTTGGATAAATTTTTGTTGTCTTATTTTTTTAAAACAGGCTAATAGGCTAAACAGGACTTTTATTTTTTGTAAATGAGTCAGGCCACAAACTGATATTATATTCGTAACAGGTAACAGGCTAAGGCCAGTCTGACATATTTGAACACAGGCTCGGCCCGTTAAGATCAAAGCTCGGCTCGGATCGGCTCGTTAACACCCCTAGTCTCTTCTAATATATATTTGGTAAGTGGCAGAATTTTTTAATTGAATCTTTGAAATTTGATATTAAATCTCAACTATTAATTTTCGTCAATTGTTATCATTTATTGGAAATTAATAAGTTTGATTTTCATTGATTGACAAAAATTAACAATTAAGAATTGATGTCAAATTTTAAATTTTTTCTTCACCTATTTAGCTTCAACTTGTATATAGGGTTTATTTTTTCTACAGTTACTGCAGATAGGTTATCTGTAGTAAGCCCAATTTGACTTTGTTTTGGGGCGGAAATCATGGTACTTTTGTAATTTTAATTTATTTCAGGGTTATAATAGTCTTTATATTTATAATTTTTAAGATTTCAATACCAAAATGATGTCATTTTGAAAATAAACGCAGATAACTTATCTGCATTAACTGCAGAAATATTTTTTCCTTACTTTAATATAAACATAATATTATAACTGTAACAGGACTGCCTACGTGGCGCTGACGTGGCACGACTCGGGACTAGTCTCGTCAGTATAAGTGAATATTTGACAGCATTATTTTAAAAAAACTTATTCAATGAGCTATTTGACTGCATTAAGTGGACAATTCTTTTGCCCAAAAATTTTAAATGGTGCTTTAACCTTACTTTACCTATTTATCTCTAACATATTTAGATCATAATTTTAAAAAGAGAGAAAAAAATTTGTAAGAGATAATAGATATAAAAAAATGTAAGCATAATATTATATTGCAATAAGATTATATAAAAATAGAATAGAGAAAAGACGACTTTTTTTTTTTTTTTTAACTATTTATCTCTTTATATCGCGTGAAAGGATAAGAGGATCTGTTCCTGAGTCCTGACCTTCCTTGCACTAATTCCTCTTAGGTTCACTATTCAAACTGTCAATTTAATATACAAGTAGTAATTATTTTCTACTTTAATTTGTAAAATCTCTTAAATACTATAATGTGTTTATATTAATCGTGTAATAACATATATGTAAAAAATTAATTACTAGAATAATTTAATTTTTAATTGATTGTTAAAATTAATTTCGTTAATATTCAGACATGTTTTAAAAATGTTATGTTTATTTTAGTCATATAATAAATTTACTCTGATGTAATAAATTATCAAATGGATAATTACTGAAATTACTATTTGTCAGGTTTACAAAAAAAAGTACTATTTGTCAGAGAACAAATAAGTATCTTTATATCCAAGTGTTGAAATTATATAAGAAACTGAGAATTTATCTCTTGTAAGAATATTATTAACATAATAACTAAAACATATTAATTTCAAATCAGAATATATAGCTTAATTCATAAAAAAAGTTTTTGTACAAAATAAATAATCTTTCTAAAACGTGTAACAATTCTGAAAAAAATATAGTAATGTAATTAATATAAAGGTGATATGGTCGTTTTATACTGTTGACATGTTTGAGATATATAGTCCCAGTTGTTGGTTAGTTCTTGGGGTATTGATTCGTCTATGGAAAAAAATATGTGTATTTTAGTTTTTATGTGTTTATTGTTACTTTTATTTTACTAATTTTTATCTATGATACGAGTAAAACTTTGGTACTTTTAGAGTATTCAAGTAGATATTTATTTTTTCTCATTTGATAAATTTTTTATCATTTTTGAAAAAAAGTTTCCTGTCACATTAATTGTTTTTATTAAATGTACCGAATTGAATCCATCGGATGTGCACAAATTTTTTTCTCTGATACATGTTTTTTCATTTAATTAATAATGAAAAAAATATTTGTTTTTTTAAATGACAACCTGTGTCATTTCACTCTCACAAGGAGGTAAGACTCAAGACTTTATTTTTTTGTCTACTCTCTCTCATGAGCTATTTCTTTCTCTTACTTAAAATAACACAACTTTACATTTTTTAAAATGACACACATTTTTTCCATTAATAATTTAAAGAAATTATATAGAAATTCAAATAAATTTTTTGCCACATCACAGTTTAAGGATAATATGGAATTGGTGGCGCCCCTAGTTTAGGGAGTGTGGCCGACACTGGTAGCATGTGGAATGACAATACTACCCAACAACTACTACCCCTTCCAAAGCGCAAATTGGGCAACCATTTATTCAATGGATATTAATCAAATATTTAATACTTCATGAAAATATTTTTTTATTTTTTATTTTATTAATATTTTAAATATATTATTTAATGATTTTTTTGTTTATAAAAATTTGTATAGAAAACATTAAAAAATAAAGTGAAAATTTTTTAATTATTAAAAAAAATAACAAAAACATTTTTTTATATCAATCTTGTCATATGATTTGGTAGAATTAACGTTTTATCCTTGTAATTTCGTCCTTTTGTTTTTTTAGATGAAGTTAATTATTTACAAAAATATCCGTACATTTTACGTATATTTTAAATTTAAGTCAAATATAAAAATAAGTTGAAAATAAAATATTTAAACTATTAAAATTACCTATATAATTAACTTAAAAACTTAAATTTAAAATGTAAAATAAAATATTATGTGTCATTTAAAAAAGGGGAAATCATCTATCTTTTTAAACAATATAATCATATGTTATTTTAGATCTTAACTGTTAATTTTCGTTCATCAACGATTATAATTTATTGGGTCAAACTTAATGGGCCAAACTTATTATTAATTAATTAATAATTTTAATCCAATAAATTATAATTGTTGAATGACAGAAATTAACAGTTAGGATCTAAAATGACATATGGTTATATCCTTTATAAGGATAGATATTTTTTCCTTTAAAAAATATAAGATATTAAATTAAATTTAAAAGGTATTCTTTAATTTAGTACGGGTTTGATATTATTCAGGAGATAAAATTATTTCTTATAACTAAATAAAATATTGTTTTAAAATTCTATAAAAAAATTTAAATTTTTTTTATATTACAATAAAGATATAAAATTCTCAAAAATATCTTATGTTTTTTTTCTTAAAATTACAATTTATCTTAGAATTATATGAAATAATTTTATTTCCTATTATATTAAAAAATCCTATTTATCGATGATTTTAAAGGAAATTTAAGTTGTGATTCTGTAATTGTTATCCACCACAAAACTCAAAAATATTTAATACTAAAAAAGTTAGCTAATGTTTCTTTTGTGTCACAGTACAAATGATCAAAAGATTATAATTGTGATTAGAAATTTATTTGAAATCACAGGTGTTCGGAGAAACACTTAGTGGGCATTTGTTAGAAAATTTTTTTAGGATTCTCGCAAAATTGAAAGTGATAATCTTATTTATTTATATTTGGTATAAGATTTTTTAAAAAAATTCGGGATTTTATTTTATATGTAATATTTTTTAAAATTACTATCCAAGAATATCATCCAGAGAGTGATATTTTAGAATTCTCGTGACAAGGAAAAATTTAATACAACCTAACATAGTATCAAGAAAATTAACTCAATATTTTCAGAAATATTTTATCTTATCAAACATTTTTTTGGTAACATTCCCGAAAAACTCATTTTCTCACCATATTCTTGAAAATCGTGATTCTCGGATAATTTCTTCTTCTTCTACCAAACGCTCCCTTAAAGGGGCGTTCAATGCAGGATAATTTTTTTTTTTTTTGAAGTCACTGTTCTGGGAATGTTAGAAAAAATATTGTTTGGTATCATCGACTGTCCCCACACACTAACACAAGACTTTTCATCGTGCTTTATCCTCACTCGCACACTTCCCGAGAATTGCTCCAAGTCAAGCACGCTTAACTATGGAGTTCTTCTATTCCGGGCTACCGAAAAGTAGATGCATCTTGTTAGTATAGGTCGTAACAATTAATTCTTATAAGATATTCCCAACTGTACTGTCTCATACCAGCACAGTCTCTGGAATCCCTCTTTTTCAGGTGTTGATTCGATTCATTCATGTACCCCCGGCGCTGGAAGCCTGCCAGGAGCCGCTCTTTGTCCATGCCCTTTCGCACCGACGATCACTC